CGCGGCGAAGATCGAACCTTGGAAAGCGGCCGGCAGGAATCCGCTGTTGAAGTTATCGAGCCCGCCAGGTGGAATCAAACCGCCGTTGAGCACCACAAAGCCCGGCAGGTTATCGTTCTCGCTGCCTAAGCCGTATGTCGTCCACGCACCCATGCTGGGGCGCCCCTGCAATCCACTGCCGGTGTGCAGGAAATAGTTGGCGTTGGTATGTTCCGAGAAATTCGAAGTCATCGAACGTATCACGGCCAAGTCGTCGACATGTTTGGCCACATTCGGAAACAGCTCGCTGACTTCGATCCCACTTTGCCCATGCTTTTGAAACTTCCAGGGGCTCGCCAGCGTTCCACCCAAATTGTTGAACTGCGTCGGCTCGGTCTTAGCCGGAAACGGCTTTCCGTCGTACTTCTTCAGCAGCGGTTTCGGATCGAACGTATCGACTTGCGAAGGACCGCCATCCATGTACAAGAAGATGACACTCTTCACTTTCGGAACAGCATGGGGTGACCCTAACAGTCCCAAGCCTTCACTTGCGGTCGCGTCACGATGCAGCATCCAGTTGAGTGCCAACGAACCGAAACCGCACGCGGCGCTGGAAAGCAGCTGCCGACGACTCATCTTGCCCTGTTGAGAAGAACAACAATCCACGCGATCTCTCCACGCCTAACGAACAAAAATGAATGGCTTCGCGTTGACCAACACATGGGCCAGGTCACGCCACAGCTCGACCGATGTCAGCGTCTGATTCGGATCGACGCCTAGTGTCTTAGCATGCGAATCAAGAAACTGTAGCGCCAACGCTTGCTCCGCCTCGGTCGGTGGCCGCGAAAACGCTTCCTGAATCATTCGCTCGATCCGCAAGCGGGCATCGTCGGGCGATTCGGCGATGGCCTTTTTCGCCCAATGCTCGCACTGCTCGATCACCATGGGGTCGTTCAGCAATATCAACGACTGGGCGGGCACGTTCGATTGGTTCCGACGACCGATCGTCGTGATCGGCTGCGGCGTGTCGAAGGCCAGCATCATCGGAGACAGGAAGTTCCGCCGAATCTCAAGATACACGCTGCGGCGACCTTGGCCGTCGACGGGACCGCTCTTGCTGGGTCGGCCTCGTCCTTGCATGAACGATGTCA